TCCAGCTCTATCGGAGGAAGGCGTGGCTTGACATACTCCGAACATGGCCCAGACTGCATCAGCAGCACGATGCTGCAGAGCTCTTCACATTTCTTGCGGATCATGCACGCCTGCCAGGAATACAAGGCTCATGGGAAGCCCGATCAATGGCGGGGCCCCAAATCCAAGCACATCAACGGATGAGCTCGGTTCCGCTCATCACATTACCCTGTACACCAAACAAAACACTGCAGCAACTCGTGGAAGATTGGACCTACGAGCAAGACACGGGAGAGGTGACGGCCCTCACTAATCCCCCACCTATCCTGAGCATTCAGCTTATGCGTTTCAGTGGGGACCTCAGAGGAGAAGTTGGCAAACTCCAACACAGAGTCAACCTCTCACCACGATTACAGGTGCCTACATTCACCGGTGGTGTTCATACAGAGCCCTGCACCTATGTGCTCAGCTCGGTCGTGTATCACATTGGATGCACTCCGGACTCAGGTCATTATCGCTCGATGGGCATTACGGCCCCTACGGGGGAGCCGACTGCTGCTTTCTATAGTGAGCTCCAAAGGATCCTGGCCGAAGATGTTGCTCATCCGGCCCTACATGTACAGAATGATGACACACCGACTGTCGTAGCTAACTCTACTGACATCAATGAGATCAGTAGGACGTGGTACTTAGCTCTCTTTTCATGGCCGCAATAGTCGGCCTGCCGCCCTGGGAAGCGGCATCGTAGTAGTCCGGCGTGCCTGAAAAGGCCGTTCCTGTATCCATTGACGATACGGGTACGTAGCGCCCGCTGAACAGTCGTCTCGACTGAAGCGTGTGAATGAATGAAAACGACGGGATCAGCCGATTCGAGAATGTGCCGGAGTCCGAGTCTTGGACCAGACTCGACCTACCGCTGAGTGCATTGACGAGTAGAGCTGCGAAGATTATAGGAGACATCCATTTCGCTTCATCTACGGGTTTTTCCGATATGCCCGAAATCCATCGATTGCATGACCTTTTGATCTCGATGCTTTGTTAATGTCTTTTCGAGTGGCGTTCGCCTGCGATGGGAGGACGCGACCACCCTCGATGGGAACCAGTCGGTCCTCCCAGCGGAAGAACTTCGATACTTGCTGTACGGAAGATCTACATCGATCTGTGAGATCGAATACTTCGATCTGTAAGATCGAAACGCAGACACAACGCCACCGAAGCGGAAGCAGGTGGAAAACAGCTTTGCTTCAGCCAGGGATTTATGGCCTTTTGTGTGAGAGTTTTGTTGTCGTGTAGCACACACTTGTTTGTGCGAAGTGACAACTTATTATCTCACCTGAACACCGAATCGGTCAGGGGATTGACTCACCGATTCACTTCGTTTGATTGTACATTTGATTGTGTATATACTCCGTGGCCATTTTGGCGAAAGCTGTTACAGCTTGAGAGAACTTTGTTTCACCCACCCGTCCCGACCCTCTTTCATACTACGTTTACATTTTCCTCTGCTTCCTGTCTGCGAGAACCGCCTGGGAACCAGTCGGTCCTCCCAGCGGAAGAACTTCGATACTTCCTGTACGGAAGATCTACATCGATCTGTGAGATCGAATACTTCGATCTGTAAGATCGAAACGCAGACACAACGCCACCGAAGCGGAAGCAGGTGGAAAACAGCTTTGCTTCAGCCAGGGATTTATGGCCTTTTGTGTGAGAGTTTTGTTGTCGCATTGGGTAAAGGGGTTTAGGGTTTCAGGGTTCAAGACCTAAGCCCCCCCCAACGAACCGCAAACACTGAAGCCTAAACGGCCTAAGCCTCCTCAGCTGGGGCCGCTAACGGCACCATGAATGCTTGAATCTAGCCTGGGGGTATACCTTTTTGCCCTTGCGTTTTGAGGTCTCCTTAGTAAAACAGTATATTCGGAAAAAGGGTACCCTTATCATGAAGGCTATGAAGGGGTTACTGGGGAGCAAAAAGAGTATTACATTACAGGCACTTCTCGGGTCTAATGTAAGAACCTGATCAAGAATTCCACTGAAAATATTCGATAATGTCAAGAACCTTAACATAGATTCAGGGTGTCTCAATAAGGTTCTTACATCAGGTACCCAAACGGTCCGAAGCACCTTCATGGTGGTAAGTAGTGTTTCTGTCGTAGGAGTCACTATTGTGGTTCGGGTAAGCAGCGCCCATTATAGGTCATTAGGACCCAATTCTGGTGGGTAAGCACCCAAAATCCTCCGCTTTAAACCCCAAACCCTAAACCCTAAACCCCAAACCCATAATCCTCCACTGGAGCAGGTCACCCATAACATGGCCGGCACGGTTCTCGTCCCTGGTTCGCATCGCACAACGCTACCCGAAGAGGACCAGAGCCTCCGCGTGGATCAGAATTTTGCCCAGGCCAAGATGGGTTTCAGGGCCTGCGGGGAAAGTAGAAAGCGTCAGAGGTACATGTGAGACGTAGCCAAATAACTGGCTCTGGCACCTTAGAGCCACATTCGAGCCAAGGCTGGTAATATAGGGGCCTCAATAATTAGAATAGGGTTTGGGGGCCCACCATACTATAGTTATATAAGAAGGAGCCCTAGGAATGCCATTGGCAATTATTTCGGCTTCTTTATCATCGACAGAAAGGTTGACTTGCTCGTTCTTGTTCTACAGAGTGAACTGGAACGGTTGTTGCCCCTGAGGGGTCCATGCACCTTAGCATAGACTTATGCGCCAGTGTTCCAATATCGGAACCCCTTTGAGCTTCAGCCTATACTAAATGGAGTATATGGAGCCTTCTACTCTCAACCCGAAACCCAATAGAAAGCTTATAAGACCCTTAAGGGGAACCTTTATGGGAAGCCTTAAAGGGGGTGTGGCATGGAGCACCGAAGGGTCCCTCCAATTGAGGTAGAAAGTTGGGGCGGTTTGGGCCTTCAGGTTTGGTGGGCCTTGAGGGTCTACGGTGCCAGGTTCCGGGTTTAGTTTGGGGCTTGGGGTTACAGGATCCTACACGGTTTAGGGTTTGGGTCGGGACTTGCTTGGGAGGATGGCTGTTGTTCCGGTGCCCCAACTCTAAAGGTCGCACTCAAACCCTAAACTCCGAACCCTAACCCCCTAACCTAAAGCCCGAAACCTTACTGGAGCTCTTCTAGCACAGCTGTGTGTGACTAGTCTCACCGAAAGTATACACTCCCAGTGCCTGGGGCTCTAGTTACTTAAATAGTGGGGATTAGGTGTTTTAGGGTTTAGGGCTTTAGGGCTCCAGTTTCCTAAATAGTAGGTTACTACCCATGCATGATGTGCCCCAGTAACCTACTTTTTTGGCAACTGGAGCCCTAGGGAGTGCCTGCTTCAAAACCATTCAGAGAGTGAAGTGACAGAGTGGCCTGGTCAGGAAGAACCAGGATGCAAGACATTCGCGTTCATGACCCCAGGGTTAGGGCTTGGGGTCCAAGTTCCCCACTCCTTGTCCCTAAACTCCAAATCCCTTGCCCCTCCAGCTTTTGCAGTCCTCCAGAAAGACGAGGGCGCTCATGGGTGCCGTGGTGCGAAGATTGTTTACCCAGCGGAATCTGGAATGGACCCCGATATGGACCAGAAATAGTAGGATCCCTGTTGCAAGTACCTGGAAACGAGACCTTCAAGTGCCACCCCCATAAGATACTCCGCCGGGAAACCCTGAAAGGCGTGATTGCCTTCAAATTCCAAGTTCCCCGGCTTCCTACCCGTTTAGGGCTTAGGGTTTGCGGTTTAGGGAAGCACCAACAATTGGACACAGAAATTATGGCATCACGACTCTTGCGCGTGTTTAAATTCAAGTTCATCACACACTGTAAGCACGCAGTTGCTAAGAAGCCTTCCTGCAGATCATGTATCCTGTTGGCTTCAGAACAACTCCCTGTAGAATCACTAACCTCTGAAACTCCGAAGCGGGGACGACGATTTCAGAAATCAACCATTACCAGCGTCGTCGTCATCATCATCGTCATCGTCATCATCACTGACTGAATCATCCTACGAATCACCGTATTTTTGTTCATGGTCATCCTCATTCTAGCAGCGTTATACATGTCAGTGCCGGAAAGCCTCAACCCTAACCCTAACCCTTATCGTCCAGATAGCACACGCTCCTTTAAGTCGTGGGCTGGGACTGGCAGGGATTTGATCGGAGAGCTGTCTTCAATGCTCGTCCTGTGAGCATTTATGTATCCAGCAACAAGCACGCGTTCGAAACCCTCTTTTGTAACAAGTCCTAGACCCTAAACCCTCTGGTTCTCCTATAGACATTCTTATCGCCCCTCGAAACGAGCCCCCAAACCCACCGAGCCCCAAATTGTAAACCCAAAAATCCTAAAACCCCAAAACCCTAAACCCTAAGGCCCTAAACTCTACACCCTCAAACCCTCCACCCCAACCCAGTTGAGGCAAGCTGATCCGGCCCTACGTGCCGGCTGGTGGCCTCCTCGTTTTTAACTCCAAGACCCTCGCCCAAAAGAGTTGTGTTAGGTAGTTATCTTGGTTTTTGTTTTGTTTCTTTCTATATAAATCCTAAAGCCCTCAAAGAACCCGAAAGCCGTTTAGGGTTCAGGGTTAGGGCTTCGTGTTCCGGGTTTGTGGTCTATAAGGTTTAGGGTTTGGGTTTTAGCCTGTTGCAACAAGGGTTCAGGGTTTAAGGTTTAGGGTCCAGGGTTTCGGGGAGAATAGAGCCCCCATAAAAGCACAAAAGCCCTAAACCCTTGAATCAGCAGCCTCCACATGTCTAAATCCGTAGACCCTAAACGGTGATATGAAGACGACTTCAGGATTAGAGTTTTGGGTTTAGTGTTATTCTGTGAAGTTGCGGTTCGGTCTCTCGACCCTCTCGCCCCGAACCTTTTGTTTTCGAAGGCACACGAGTGGCCCAAGCAGCGGAAAAGGACCCGCATCTTCGTGGAGGCACCGGGAACCGTGCTTTCCGGTCTTAGTTGTAGATTGGTAGCGGAGCGCTGGGGCGCTCAGGTTCTGTAGTCTTCCTCTGATTTTTGGCTGTGCCATGTCGTCTGCTGATGGTGGTGATGCGGGGACTACTCATGTCCATGATCCTAGTGATGATTCTGTTTGGCGACCTAGTGAGGGCGGAGGTAACGAACAAGGAAGCGGTGACTCCCGACCTCCTCCGCGTGATGATCATGGCACCTCGCAATGGGATCACGCCCATGACCCATGGATTACCAGCGACCAGGCTGGTGGGGCCATTCCAGTTGGGGAGATCGTAGCAGCTGGTGGCAAGGCTACGATTGGCGAGACCAGAGACGATGGAGCCTCGGGGAAACATGGGGCACCTCGTCGACGAATGCCGGCTCCGGACCAGGCTCTGCGGACGGCAGTGCGGGCAATGATCACAAGCAGGCCTCCGGATGGAGCCCAGGAGACAATGGATGGGACGACGCCTCCAGAGGCGTCCCTCGCCGGCCCGAGAACTCTCGTGGGCCGAGCGAAAAGATGGTGGTCCCCACTTTCGACGGCGAGATCAACTCCACCTACGACGACCTCGGCTCCTCTGCAAGATCGTATGTTCGGCAGGTGAGCGCTTGGCGTCGAATGACGCGTCTCAGCGCTGACCAACAGGCGCTTACCTTGTATCAGAACCTCTCCGGCAAGGCTTGGGTGGACGCGGAGAAGTTGCATATGGACCGCCTCGCTGCTTCCGACGGCGTCGACTACTTCCTCGGATGGATAAAGGAGAGGTATCTTGATGTCCAAATCACACAGGTGGGACGCAGCCTCTCTGGCTTCTTCCGAGGCCTCCGAAGGAAGCCTACTCAGACGGTCCGGGAGTACCTCTCGGAGTTCGATCGCGCCTATGCGCGACTCAATGAAGTCGGGTGTTGCTTACCCGACGTGGCGGCGGCCTGGGTCTTTGTAGATCGTATGGGGCTCGATGAACAAGCAGAACTCAACCTCTTAGCGTCCGTCGGGAACGTCTATGACCTCCAGCAATTGCAAAAAGCTGCAATTGTGCACGATCGCACCTTGCGGAAGCCCTGGGAGACGATGCCCAAGAACGACAGGAACCCTCGCCGCGAATGGCTGCCGAGGCGCAATCACTCGGCTCTCCTCACCGGGCACGAAGATGGCGAAGAGGACTTCCTCCAGGACGACGGCCAGGCCGAGATCGACGAAGACGAGATCGTCCCCGAGGACGTTGCGGCTGAGTACTACGAGACCTTCATGACGCATGAGTCGGCCAAACAACGATATAAGGAGACCCTCAAGCTACGTGGCAGCGACCCCGAATCCCTGAAAAAGCTATCCGAAGACCGCCTCCAAGCAGCGAAGGCGCGGTCATACTGCGCAGGTTGCCGACGACGAGGTCATTGGCACCGAGATGCATGCTGCCCTTTGAACAAAGCTGCGGCCGGGACTTCCGGAACTACCTCTACGGGAAGATCCCCTGCTACTTCAGGGCAGATGTCGAAGCCTACGAACCCTCCGCCCCACAGGCCTGATGGAGGACGCCAACATGTTGTGCATGTGACTTGGGACCTTCAGGACCAGGGCGGCCCCGACTTGATGGCGATTACAGACACGGCGTGCTCCAGGAGCGTCGCCGGGATCCATTGGATCAACTCTTATGTGGCTCTGGCAAAGCAGAAGGGTTTCAGCGTTGAGTTTGTGCACATCCAGGAAGCCTTTCGCTTCGGAGCGTCTCGAGTGTTTGAGGCCCGCCATGCGGCGGTTATCTACTTCCCCATCGGAGAGAAGATCGTTGGACTCAAGATCGCTGTAGTCTACGGAGAAGTGCCTCTACTGATTTCGAGACCAGCTTTGGCACTTTTGGGAATGATTATGGATGTGGCCCGGAATGTTGCCACCTTCCGTGCTGTTGGTGTCACAGATTTGCCGCTGAAGATGACTGAAACAGGGCATCCAGCTTTCCCGGTCCAACCTGTGGACCCCAAGAGCCTGAAAGGACCTGCCATGGACTGGCCGTCTCAGGAGATCGGCATCTTCTCGCGCGCTGAGCAATACATGGTGTTTGCTTTGGATTCTGTAGAGCCTCTTCTAGATGAAGCTCATGTCCGTCGCAACAAAGACCCGAAGGCCCTTCATGAACCTCATCATCCTCAACGAGTCTTTCATCCCAAAAGGATCGCGGCTGCTACAAACAACCTTCTTTTGGCTGATGTGTTGAACCGTGATAGTTTCCTGGCATGGTGGTCACAAACTTCAATCTCGAATGACTTTTGGATAGAATGTGAGCACATTATGGTCCGAGTCCACGTGGTGCCTCGTAAGACTTTTTTCAACCCTACCTCATGGAGCACCCCCAAGCACGAACTCAAGGCGAACCTCCTGCAGAACCTCGGTTTTATGCGTGTTGTGAACGCAATCTCATGTCACAGTCAGCGAGAATTTCCAGCAGTTCATGACTTGTGGAAAGATGTCGGTGCAGACTCGAGTTTTCCGATGCTTTGGATCGGGAGAACCGTGTTCTGTAGAGCTTCGATGCCCTGCCGATCACCTTGCGATTCCTCTGTGAACCATGGCTCCGAAGCCTCTTTTGACCGCTCCGATGGTGTCACGACCCAAGGTCCTCTCCGAGATGAAGAAGGACGAGCTGCTCCGGGAAGCGGCTGCACGGAACCTGCCGGTGAACCCCCGGTGGACGGTGGTCGAGCTCCGTTCGGTGATTCAGGAGGACATGGATGCCGAGACGAAGTCAGCGCCTTCATCCGCCCCTCCGGTGGGACTCTCCAAGATGACCTTGCAAGAGCTGAAGGAGAAGGTGGTGGAGATCGGCCTCGAGATCCCTGCCAAAGCCACCCGGGGCATCCTCATGCGGATGGTGCGGGACAACGGGGGCAAGGGCCCCGAGACTATCCTCACCTTTGGGAGGTACCAAGGGATGCGCTACATGGACACCCCGATCGGCTATCGCACCTGGGCGGTACGGGAGGTGGTGAACAACGACAATGCATCGGAGGATTTGCGGATGTTCGCGGCCTGGTGGAAGGCCGAGACGGAGACCCGAGGAGTGGTGCATCCGCCGACCTACGTGGACCCGGAGAGTGGTGCTTCGATCCCCTACGTGCCGGACGAGTCGGAGGACAGTGCGGTTTGGGAAAGGGTGTCTTCTTATGTTCCGGCGAAGGCCAAGGCGAAATGGAGCGGCTACCAGCCGGTCCCACCGACTACGACACCGAAGCGACGTTCGGCACCTTCCGAGAGCAGTTTCTCGAACCGCTCCCGCATGGATCAAGACATCCCGGTGGAGATCTTGGACGAGGTACAGCACCTCGAGGAGAGGCTGGCAATCCTACGCGACCGGCATGGACTGCCCCCGCAGGGCAGCACAGGGACGGATCAGTGAGTGGGCCAGACCCACGCGACTACCACGAGGACTACGACGAGATCTACTTCGAGGACGATGAGGAGAAGCTTGCCTTTCTTCGTGACCAGATCACACCCTTGGGCGTTCCACGCGAGGACGCGGCCTACGTGAAGGAAATCATGAATGAAGAGGTTGGCTTCAAGGAAACCAACCTGGAGAACTCCGACTTCTACCTGAACCATGGTCCCGCAGAATGTGTCCGAGAACAACATATAAAGGACAGTGCAGAACGTGGCTATGAGTCTGCACCGGGTCCTGCTGGGCATGTTCGCTTCGAGGAAACCAACCTGGAGAACTCCGACTTCTACCTGAACCATGGTCCCGCAGTATGTGTTCGAGAACAACATATGAAGGACAGTGCAGAACGTGGCTATGAGTCTGCACTGGGTCCTGCTGGGCATGTTCGCTTCGAGGAAACCAAACTGGAGAACAGCGACTTCTACCCGAACCATGGTCCCCATATCCCAGAGAACGTAGGTGAGATCTCTGTCCAGTCCATCTCCGAGGTGCTCCAGTTAGGCACCGAGGATTTCTTCGAGATTGCCAGTGGTGAGGAGCATTCAGTTGTCCAGGAAAATTCAGATTTTCAGGTTCTGGCTGCGTCCGATTCCTCTTCATCTACTACAACCTTGAGATGTGAAGCCTTGGCCCGCGAGAAGCTGCGCGCAAAAGCCTTTTCTTTCACTGACCTCTACGAGATCGTCCAGCTCATGCCGCTCCGTAAGATCAAGAAGCATAGGTGCATCAGCGGGGGCGCCGACGCGACGGTCAACTACTTCTTCGCTGGCCTATACACCCACGGCGTCTTCTCCGGGATCACAAAAGGAACGGAAGCACTGCCCTGGGTGACCCGGTACGTCAATGCATTCGGACGGGACAAAACCGATGGCAGCTGGAGTTCGTGGATCCTCAGCAAGAACGTCAAGTCCACCGTGCACGCCGACAGTCACAACCTCGTCGGCACCAACATTACAACGATGAGCTTCGGCGACTTTTCCGGTGGAGAGCTTTGGGTCGAAAATGATGCGAATGACCTTGAGGGCGACGCCGTTTTCAGGACCGACGCCTTCAACACGACTTGGAAAGGAAAGCTTGTGTCTACCAAGGAGTCACCGCTCATCCTCGACCCCAAGCGCAAGCACTGCACTGAACCATGGAAAGGGGACCGATGGACGTTGGCTTTCTTCACTCCGCGGGGTTTCCCGCAGTCTGCCCCGGCCCTACGAGACCGACTCCGAGATCTTCGATTCCCTCTTCGCGGCCTCCCCATCGAGGAGCACCACCACGACTTTGCGCGTGCACCCAGGCCACCTAAGAGCACCCGCAAGGGGTTATGGAAGGCGGCCAAGAGACTTGCCTCAATGACTGCGTGGTGTACGATGGCAGCTACCTCCTGGGCGACTACAGACTTTCCTCTTGGAAAGAAACAGGGAGCACCTACCCTCTTTGAAGTGGGCGATGTCACGAAGACTCTGGAGGCTGGCGACTTTGACTACGTTTGTATGGAGCCTCTTCTTCCGGAAGATCTGGGACCGCCGAATGTTTTCTCCGAGGCCAAAGACAACCTCATGAAGTTCGAGCCGGAGACCGTGTGGGTCCATGTTGAGAAGATAAAGGGGTCTTTCGGTCCACTCCAGCAAGTGTTCGAGGCCCAGGCGTGCAGCGGGAGACCTTTGGTGTTTGAGCTTCCCGAGGACAAGAATGACATCACCAGCGGTGAGCTCGAAGATTTTCTCGAAAAGTATGACAGCCACAGCGAAAGCCATGATGGAAAGCGCCGCCTCGTGCGCATCAATCACCGGGACAACTCTTCCCCAGACCTCACGCTTCCTCAAGGAGATCGAGCCAACTTCCTTTTCGAGTCCTACATGGCCTCTGGAGGTGCCCGTGGAAGCGATGATCCTCCGCCGGAAGTCCAGGAACGAGGTGCGGAAGCCATTTCTTTCACAAAGGGAGAAACGATACCTGGACCGGTGCAAAGCTCCCTCAAGAGGTTACACCAGAACCTCGGACACGCGAGCCCGGGCGATATGGCTCGGCATTTGCGATTGGCTGGAGCCGATCCTACGGTGATCAGCGCATGCAAGCGGATGCGCTGTCAGGTTTGCGAGTGGCAACAACGAGGCGGTTCACCGAGACCCGCGAGCATCCCCAACCTCCTAGAGTTCAATCAGGTGGTCGCCTTGGACGCCTTTACCACCTACGATGCTTTCGACGACAAGGTGGAGTTGCTTATGGCAGTCGACCTCGGAACCGGTTTCTGCTTGGCGAGCGAGCTTGATGGGCACTCCGGAAAAGCCATGGAAGCCACCTTTTGCCGGATGTGGAGCCAAACTTTTGGGGCACCGGGCACCCTGGTGCTCGACCTCGAGACAGGCCTCCAAGCAGGGCTTGCACGTTTCTCCGAGTGGCACGGGACACTGTTGCGTCCCATCGCGGCCCAAGCCCATTGGCAGCAAGGTGTTGTCGAGAGATGTATTCGGACTTGGAAAGAATTTTGGGTGAGGACCGTCGATGACAAGACTGTCACCCGGAAAGAAGCTCCTTTGGCTATCACTTCGGTGAACTCCACGATGAACACCCTCAGGCGCCAAAGCGGATTCAGTCCTTCTCAGGCAGTATGGGGACGAGACCCACGACTTCCCGAAGACCTCAGCGACCACCAGCTTTCAGAGCACTTCCACCATGTCCTTTCCCAAGATCGAGTACGTGCACGGGAACACACTTTGCGCGTGGCCGCAAAAGAGTCCTTCTTCAAGGTCAAGAATGACGAAAAGCTTCGCCGTGCCCTATTGCAACGGACAAGAGTCTCTGGCAGTGACCTCGAGATCGGCATGCACGTCTTCATGTACCGGAAGCCCAAGGACTCCAAGAACTGGAAGTGGTTCGGCCCAGCTACTGTGATAGGGCGCGAAGGTGGCAACTACTGGGCCTCTTTCGCGGGCCGGCGTCACTTGATCGCCCCCGAGCACATCAGGATCGCAACTGGAGAAGAGCTTGGAGCAGCTTTCACGTTGCGGGCGACAAAAGAAGACCTCGAAAAGCTTCTGGAGGTGCCCTTTGCCGACGAGGAGATTTTTGCGGGAGATAATGGTGATCAAGGCGATGATGATCTTGCGCTACCACCGGGAGACGGCGATGCTATGGACGACCAAGAACCCGAGGGAGAGGAAACCGTTTTCCCTCCTGTGGCCAAGAGATACCGCACGAAAGGACCCCAGGACGCCGAGGACGACATCTTCGATGAGCTGTTGGTTTCCACTGTGGGCACCGAGAATAAGGACCTCCAGACCGCCTACATGATGAAGCTTCCCAAGACGCCCCGCGCCAAGGAAAAGGCTCTGGAGAAGGAGATTCCATGGAGCCTCATACCTGAAGATCAACATGAAGGCTTCAGGGCAGCCGAAAAGACTCAGTACGACGAGCACATCCAGCACGAGGCGCTTGAACCGCTTTCCGTTGAGGAGAGCAGGGAGATTTTGAGGACCAAGCATGAGAGAGTACTGAGTAGTCGGTTCGCGTACAAGGACAAATTTTGGTCCAAAAGAAAAGAACAGCCGAACATCGGCTGGAAGCATAAAGCCAGGCTAGTAATAGCTGGACATCGCGACCCGGACTTTATGAATGGCCTCAGCACGCACGCTCCCACCGTGTCCCGACAAGGAATTCTACTTTTGCTGCAGATCCTCGCTAGCAACCTCCGCCGAGGATGGACAGGCCATGCAGGCGATGTTTCTGCTGCCTTTTTTTGTGGTGAGAGCCTTCAACGGGAACTTTTCCTTAAGCAACCTCGCTCCGGGCTTGGAGATTTGCACCCTGAACAACTACTGCGAATCAAGAAACCCATCTTCGGGCTGGTCGACAGCCCTGCGTCGTGGTGGGGAAAGTTCCGAAAGTCTTTGAGATTGCATGGAGAAGACGGGCGCGTGTGGGTGATAAGCAACTGCTCTCTGGACCATTGTATCTTCATTGTCCAGGAGGAAGTCACTGATGAAGAAGGACGGCGAGTGCTACGGGAACCCGAAGCCTACATCGGGGTCCATGTTGACGATGTCCTCCTGGTGGGCGACAACGACCTGTGCCGCCTCATCCAGAAGGAGCTCAGCGCCCAGTTCCCCATCAAAGAGTGGGAAAGCGGATCGTTTGAGTACGTCGGGTCCTACATCGACATCAAAGAGGACATGATCATGGTGTCGCAGGCGAGCTACACGACTACGAGGCTTTTCGAAGTAGAGGTGCACAAGGAGCAGAGCGACGAGGACCCCGCCACCGAGATCCAAAAGCACGACAACATGTCCTTGATAGGCGCTTTGTCGTGGTTGGCTAGCCAGAGCCGGCCCGACCTACAAGTGGGGGTGTCGATGTGTCAGCAAAGGCAACGCGAGCCTCTGGTTGCCGACATCAAGTTCACGAACCTCATGGCGCAGAGGGCCTACGAGCACCAGAAGGAGGGCGTGCGCATCTTCCCGATTGACCTCAACCGGGCGACCCTCCTTTGTTTTCATGATGCGGGATGGGCGAACGCTTCGCAAAATCAGGAGGATCCCTACTACAAGCTCACCCCCGAAGAGGACCAGCTTGGGATGATCACCAGTGGCCCCATGAGTAGGAATGAGGCCAAAGCGAAGCGTGCAAACTCGAGTGTGTGCTCCCAGTTGGGCGGGCTCTTCCTCCTCGCTGATCGAGAAGTACTTCAAGGCGGGAAACACAAAGTGAGCACTCTAGACTGAAGAAGCAGTGCATGCGACAGAGTTTGCCGTTCTACATTTGCGGCAGAAACCATGGCGTGCGCCACGACCATCGAGACCGGGATCTTCATCAGCCGGTTCTTAGAGACATTGCTCACTGGAAAGCTTGCGCGGAATTCCTCGCGGCTCCAACTACGTTTTCTGAGTGATTGCAGACGTCTGTATGATCATTTGATCCGGGACGGAGTCCCGCGTGTCCCCTCCTGTAAACGTCTCGCAATAGACCTTGCAGCTATTCGTGATGATCTAAGCGAGGTCGGTAGAATTGCATGGGTTCCTACGGGTGCCCAAATGGCCGATCACCTCACGAAGCCGCTCAAAGCCGGCGACTGGTGGCGGCATTTGTCTGATGGTCTCGAGTTGACTTTTCGAGAGGATCCTGTATAGAATGTTGAGAGATTTCGAACCAGTGTAATTCTGTGAAGTTGCGGTTCGGTCTCTCGACCCTCTCGCCCCGAACCTTTTGTTTTCGAAGGCACACGAGTGGCCCAAGCAGCGGAAAAGGACCCGCATCTTCGTGGAGGCACCGGGAACCGTGCTTTCCGGTCTTAGTTGTAGATTTAGGGTTTGGGTTTCAGGTGTAGGGTCTGGGGTGTAGGGTAGAATAAAGACTGCACGGTGAAAATTAAAAAATTACCCTCAACCCTAAACCCTTGTTGCCGAACAGTTGCAGTATCATTTGAGAAAGACTACTATTGATTCTTCGGGCCTCTATACCCTAAACCTTAAAACCCTAAACTTTAAACAATGAACCCTACGCCTAAAACCCTAAACCCTAAAATCCTACATGATTTGCCTGATCGCACCAATGCAGCCCGGACTATGATTCAGGCTTCATGGGGCTTGTAGTAGGCTTCATAGGGATTGCAGGGTTTATCGGGTTCTCCGGTTGTTAGGGTGTAGCGGGTGTATAGGACTTATAGATTTTTGGGTTTCAGGGCTTTCCAAACAGCAGCCCCTGGTCCTAAGATCCTAAAGCCTAAGCCCCAGGTCTCGGTACGGGGCGTTCGCAACTGTAACCCATTGGCTTTTACTAGCCACCAAGGCTCATTCATGCGAACGACCCCGGCACCGTTAGGAGGTCGAAGGTGCGGCGTCGCCCTTTTTCTTGTTGCGCAGGAATGGGTTTAGGGTTTCGGGTAGGGGGGGGGGAGTTGGTGTTGTGCATGACAATGGGGTTTAGGGTTGGGAGCTGTTCGGAAATCTGCGAGCTCTTGGGGCTAAGTGGTTTATGTGAGCCTGTTCTGGTGTTGAAGCCTCACACTGTAGACGAAGTTACATGTGAATTTGTCGCTTTATGATGTCATCTCTAGCTCAGTTTACCGATAAGGTATCAAGCATGCTTGACACTTCCTAAAAACTCAAGTGTCGAAAACCTGTGATTGAATATGTAGTAGGTATTAGTAGGTAGTAACTTGGTAGCTTATGGTAGTAAGAGCTATTCAGACTAAAGCCTGAACCCCGTAATAAACCCGGAACCCCCAAACCCAGCCACTCAAGCCCGATGAAACCCTCCAGAGTCCATTGAAGAACAATTCTAGAATCCGTTTCGACTCTAGGCCGCTCTAAATCGAAGTAAATAATCAAACAACATAAAACAAGTAACCAAACGTCTCTCTCTCTCTCTCTCGTTCTCTCCCCCTTTCTTTCTCTTTCTCGTACCTTGAAAGTATTTCTGTCAAAGCCCTTACAGCCAGAAACCTAAGCACCCACGGAGCAGGCCGACGGCCTGCCGAATCGCTTGGCCTTGGCAGTGGCCTACGCGCCGAGACTTGTCAATGAAGCACGAAAAAGGGTTTAGGGTTTAGGGTTTATGTAGGACACCTATAAAAATCTTTGAAGCAGCAGAAAGATAGTCCAGAGGCCCTATGACTGTAGTCTCCTTATATAGAACTAAGAGGATATGAAATTTGAAAAGTATCGTTTTTATTGTGGTTCTAAGGGGGTGTGTAGTCCAGACACCCCATAACCCAGGGGAGAGGGGTCAACAAAAAATAAATCAGGGTCAAAAAAATTAAATCAGGATTAAAAAATATTAAACAGTGGAAATAGAAGGGGAGGTAGGGAAAGAAGGAAGGAAGATGGAAGGAAGGAAGGAAGGAGGGAAGAAGAGAAGGAAGGAAGGAAGGAAGGGAGGAAGGAAGGAAAGAAGGAAGGGATAAAGAAAGACAAACGAAAGGAAGGAAGGAAGGAAGCAAGGAAGGAAGAAAGCAGGAAAGGAAGGAAGGAAGACAGCGAGAATGAAAAGAAGGTCTCCTGGTCCTGCGGTCCGCCGGTCCCTCGGTCCCGTAAAAACAGTCAGAAAGCAAACAAGGAATAACAAGAATAAAGCACAACCCCGGAAGAAAGAAACGCAGAAGAAAGATGATGAAGGACAGAAAGCCAGGAAGAAAGCACAAAAGAAAGCAATAAAGCAAAGCAGCTAGAAAGGAATGAAAAGAGCAACAATAACGAACATAATAGAGCATTGAAAACAGCACGCATTAACATGGTGCAACTTCCCGTCTTCTTTCTGTCCAGTCCAAGTAGAAACAGTTACTTCAAGATTTCGAGTTCTTGTGCGCCGGCTTCGTCTTTGCTTCGCCAACACACAAGAAGGGGAAACCCTGACAACAATGTTGAGAGGGTTTAACGCGAAGAAAACACAATCAATCGGGAAGGATGAAAAAAGATTGCAAATGGGGGGGGCTGCGCCCCCCCCCAACCCCCCCGCTTTTTTTAAACTAAACTCCCCGCTCAAAAGCGTATTCGCCAAAACACACAAGGAGGAGAAAGCCAGACAACAAAGCGTCAGGGTGGTTTAACGCGAAATACACAAAATCAATCGTGAAGGATTTAAAAGGGTTTGCAGATGGGGGGGGCTGCGCCCCCCCCCCCCCCCCCCACCCCCCCGCTATTTTTAGACTAAACTCCACGCTCACTAAAGCCGCGAAGAGGTTCACAAAAGTGTATTCGCCAACACACAAGCAGGGGAAAGCCAGACAACAACAACAACAACAACCCTGCAAAGGACCCCAAGACTTATTCAAAGACTAGATTATTGCAAGGTTTGACTGTTCACGCACGCTTTCGTACTGGTTTAACGCGAAATACACACAATCAATCGTGAAGGATTTAAAAGGGTTTGCAGATGGGGGGGCTGCGCCCCCCCCCCCCACCCCCCCGCTATTTTTAGACTAGATCCTTAACCCTTTGCGCCGAACCAGAACCACAGGGTTTAGATCAACAAGGCTTATATGAAAGGAACCCAAAATCTCATTTTTGTATGTGGTTGGCTTTATTTGTGTTTAAAAGTGTTTTTTGTATTTAAAAGTATTGTTTTGTATTTAAAAGTTTTTTAAATAGCTTTTTTTGTGTTTTACAGTTGTTAAAATTCTTTTATTTTTATTTTTGGTGTAAAAAATACATGTTTGTGAATTTTGTTTCTGAGTGAGTCAATTGGCTTCCTGTTGTTCTACCTGGTTTCCTGCTGCTGTATGTCTACAAAATTATTGTTTATTTGTTGTTGAAGTTAATAATTTTTAAAATTTAATCTTTTTAAATAGTTTTGGGTTTTGATTGAACAAAGAAGGGAGGCCGTAGTGACATGTTGACTTGCCTTGAGATCTTGCCCTTACCCACACGGATCGACTGCCCTTCTCGGTTCGTGGGCACCGTTGGCCGGGTGTCAGGTTATGAGGCGATTGTATCTAGACCGCCTTGGGGCCAACGTGCCAGGGCAGTGGCATATGACCCCCGGACAAATGGGCTAAAGTGCCGGGTGGGGCGGTTGAGGGGTTGTTCGCAGCCGTGCTTACAGCCTTGAAGGGGAGGCCATCCATGCTTGTCGTCACGGTTTGTTAGGGAGCCTTGCGACTTGGATCGACAGAGGCAGAGTGCCACCTTACCCACACGGATCGACTGCCCATCTCGGTTCGTGGACACCGTTGGCCGGGTGTCAGTTGTTGTCGATGGTACCTGGACCGCCTTGGGGCCAACGTGCCAGGGCAGTGGCATATGACACCCGGGCACATGGGCTAAAGTGCCGGGTGGGGTGGTCCAGTGGTTGTGGCTTTTTTATTTTTCTCCCAACCAGGAGGGGAGGCCATCCATGCTTGTCACGTTAGTTCGGGAGCCTTGCGACTTGGATCGACAGAGGCAGAGTGCCAGTCGAGCCTCTCGAGGTTGCCTTACTTAAGTCCCTGCCCCATCGGGGTTGCTCCCCACACCGTTGGCCAGGTCTAATTGTTCGGTTTGAATCCAAGCCTAGTGAACGCCTTCTCTTCCATTTCCTTCTCTCCCATCGGTCTTCATCGGCTTCCAGCCCATCGAGAAGTGGATGCCAACTGCTGGGATCTCAGCATCAGCTTGCTTCAGCTACTTCCATTATTATGGTACAGTCCTGGCACCGAGGCTCATGACGAGGATCCTGCGGACATGCTGCCATCGCAGAGGACAAGCTGCCTTGCATAGTCAGTGAGCGTGTCATGTATCGCAACTTGCCGCTGCAGCAGTTGTGCTCGCTGTTGCCCTGCGTAATCTACTATAGTCGTGTTACAGCTGCTCTGTCTCTAGTCTAAGTCGTAGTAGGCCCCCCTGCAATCCGGCAGATGTCGTCGATGTCGTGGAGTGACAGTGAGTCTGTGGGCTCGGACTGGGTTCTGGTTGACGATGAGGGTGCAAGTACTGCGGGCTCGGTCGCGGACAGTGCTGACGACGATGATTATGTGATTCCGTTCGACGAGATGCTAGAGGAGTCCTTTTCGACATTGTGGATGTTTCTGGATTCTAAAGAGCGTGGGCAAGTCTTTCGAGCAGCCTTCCATATCAATGAACAGATCATGTTTGTACTGTTTCCGAGACTTTTGCGGGATTTTAGGCAAGGCAGAGTGCCAGGAATTTTATATTTCAATGTGACAGACGAATGGCTGTCGTCACTGAATCAATGATTTGTCGTGGTTGTACAGCCTCCGCGACAGTATCACGGATCTTGGGGAAGGCAG